GCATGAAAAGGTTGCTTGCTTGTACTACAATCTCCAGAGTCCTTTGGCCAGCATCCCACAAGATATCCTGAATGGGGATTCTGGGGTTTGTAGTATTAAAAAGTAACTTGTCAATACTCTGGTTATTCTCTTCTTTTAAAGGAAAATGTGGTAGGTGGCTTGATTGTGTGTGTCCATTCATTAAAAATGCATGAAACATCTTTACATTACCTAAGTTAATCATTATAAAGGCTTTCCCATATGGACATAATTATTCTCCGAATGGCATAAAGTTAACAGTTCCAGCAAATTACATCTCGGATGTACTTCCTGCATGAATTAACGCATCATTAGTGGATAGTATTTCCTTTAATATATATAAGAATGGACAGTCCATGATTTAAAAATCAGGTTAAGCTCCCACCTTCACTTCGAACATGAGTGATCAGTATATGAAGGTTATTGTAACATGCTGCCAAAGATACAGGTACTGCCACATTGTCTGTAAATCCTTGATCAGATCTGTTGATGAGATTGATGAGTTTATCAAGGCTAATGAGAAACATAGATGTATTTAATTTACAATCAGGCAGGCATTAATGTGTGAGAAAGTGATTTCAAAATAATGGAAATTTGTTGCTAATTGTTCACCTTGATTTAAAATCTGCCGTAAGATGTTTGAAAGGCTTTTCATCATAACCATGCAAAGGTTGCATAGACCAAATCAGTTTTCTGCAAAGAGTGCAGACAACATATTAAGGATGAAGATATACAGAATAAGAAGAGATATGTAGATAGAGTATGTAAAATGAGACCTGAATTTGGAATTTCAAACAAATGTTATGAAAGAATTTTATAATTACAGCTCCCAAACTGGAAAACCACAAACATTTTCCTTCTCTCTGTCCTGATTTTAAAGCTTTATTTTCTCTTACACGTAACTTTAGAATGTTACCACTGGCCAAGCTGGCTGAGAAATTTTAAGGAGTGTGATGCCAAAAAAAAGAATAACTTTTCTAGATTTTGTCTTACCATTTTCCCCATTTTGTTAGGAATAATTCTAATTTGTGTTGTTTTTTAAGAAGAGAGTCTTAATTCATATTCAAACATTAAACACTTAGCATAGTCATCTGAGTTAACGGGATTTGCATTGCCTTTGTATAGAAATAGGAATAATAAAGAATTCTACAAAAAAAGTATACAGTATCTCTGGCTGTAATGCATGTAATTAAGGGAATATCTCAGAAACTGTGAACACTGAACTGTAAAGAAAGCTGTCAGGGGGAAAAAAACTTCATTTGAAATGTGATACTGGAGGAGAGCTTTGTGGATACTCCAGATTACCAGGAAGAAGAACAAGTGGAAAATGATGAAACTGAGGCTCTCCTACTTTGGGCACATCAGGAGAAAGCAGGATTGTCTGGAAAAGACAATAATGCTGGGAAAGATTGAAGACAGCAGGAAAAGAGGAAGACCAAAGAAGAGATAGATTGACTCCCTAAAGGAAGCCACAGGGTGAGTTTTCAAGAACTGAGCAGGGCAGTTGAGGACAAGACTTTTTGGAGATTGCTCATTCATCGGGTCACCATCAGTCAGAGGTGAACTGATGGCATAACAACAATGACTTATAATGTTTACATTAGAAGTTTTTAATATGACAGTGGTGACATACACAGATTCAAACTACCGTATTTTTCCGTGTATAAGACAATACTTTTATCTAAAACATTTAGATTAAAAATTGAATGTTGTCTTATACGCGGAAGTAAAAATACATTATCTTTGATTTCCAAATAAAGCTACAGAGTCTCTTGAATAGAACTGTAGACAGACAATACATCTCAAAACAGCCATACACAAATGCAGTCTTAGATAGGTTCTCACAGACCTAGAAATACTCCTATAATCCCTTACATATGTACTTCGGTGCTCTACAAAATCATACTGAAAAATCTGGCATCTTATCATGGTGTCATTCGCACTGCTCAGGCAAAGCTGCACAACAAGATTTTTGCCATTGTGTTACTGAATTTATGCTATGAATTAATATTAGGATGCCCACATACATACATATGGTATAGGATAAGCTGTGCTGATTCTTCATACCTACATGTTTCTTCTGGTCGGCAAGTAGAAGTATTTATAATTCAGAACATAACAGCCATAGCAGTTCAGTAACAGCTGTATAATACAAGTTATGCTTATGATATTTCGGCCCAGCCACAGTCTTTATCAGTATTTAATATTCATGATATACTTGGAGTAGTGAGAGATATTTGTCTTACTCAGTACATATAACTCCCCATCCTTGTAAAGAGAGACCTTTAATAACAGTTTGCAGTTGTACAGGCATACCTCGGTCTACGAAATTAATGCCACCTCCGGGACATTACATCATGCAGAAATTTCATGAACTGATACACAGATTGCACTAGGAATGGGGACCGCACTAGAAGCCTCCAAGCACAATGCATCCTGGGGGAAACCCTTTTGTACAGTGGGAAAAGAAAAAGAAGATAAACCAGGGCATTATTTTCTATGGATTTCAGTTCGTAAACCAAAAATTATGTAAACCAAAGCTTTTGTAAAGCAAGGTACCACTGTATATCTGGATAGATTCAATAAGACATTGGCTAAAATCCTGCTGTGCAGATCCACCTGCACAATGGGAATGACATCATCATCAGTGACGGATTGTTGTGGGTTAAATACTTCCTTTTCAATTTCTGTGTGCACACGTGTATTCCAAAGTTGAAAAATGATGCCTTTAATTAGCAGTATCTGCTGCTGCCAGTGATATTATACAGGCAGAATTATACAACAGGATTTCAACCATTATGTTCCGTTATGTTACAAGGCAGAAGAGAGGAAAATGATGTTGTATTTAAATCTCCATTTCTCATTAGAAACAAACCTTCAAGTCATTGTTCTAGTTGTGTTGACCGCCAAACAATGAGGTAAGGATATGGTAAGTGATCTTATATCACAAATACGGGGTGGGGATAAACAAAGTTTGTTATCCCAACACTACAGTTGATAATTGATAGTGATCATGTTCTTCTCACTGGATAAGCATTGGACATTTATTTTGTTGGCTGATTGCCCACTTTTCTTTCCCATTTATGGGACTCAAGGTAGCCTTACAGTTAAATAAAACAATTAAAATACAACATAAAAAGGAATGGGGGCATTAAAATTTGAACATAGTTCAAAACCAGGAAAAGAAAGTAGAGTGCAAACTCAGTTAAAATCCTCTTGCAGAGTAAGCACGTTTAGCAGCCAAAGGGCTACCTGAATAAGGGTTTTTTGGGGGGCTTTGTTAGTGGGAAGTTTCAGAGCCTGATGACTGATGCTAGACAATCAGCTTTGAGTACCAGTCACCAGTTTGACTGAGGAACTGAGAACAATCTTCTCCTTCACGTCTGTCCTCCAGATAGTCTTGTCATAGTTCAGAGCACACTGGCCATCTGTTAGATGAGAAGGTTCTTGTCTACAGCCTGGTGCTCTGATAGTCAAGAATGAATGATCAGTATATAGAATGACCTAGTTTTTACAGTTATATGGATATCAGTGCATGCATCACCTACTTATATTTAATATTGATTATTTTCTCTCTGTTTACAGTTAGAATTAAACTAGGATATTATTAAAGCATAGTACTGTTGAAAATATAATACTTCTAAAACTATGATACTATTGTGTTCCCAAAATTTTTTTTTAATTTTCTCTTTTTTTAACACTTTCATGTTTGGCTTGTTAACAGTAGCATAACATCTTTTAAGGCTGAAAAAATGAATTGAACTGATTAAAATGTGAAATGAATGACTTTTTGCAATGTGTGGTTCTTTCATAATTCACAAATGTGCTAACATGATTGTCGGAAGTGATTATGTGCTATAAAATAAAAAGACAGTAGGGTATAAAATAGAATTGGAATATGTTTTTCAAAATAATTATCTCTATTTCTAGCTCTTGTCATTAAGTTACCCAGAATTTAAAGACATGGGGACTAGTATTCTTCTGCGATGTGGGATATATATTCTTAATTAGCAAGGCTATCCATTGTAAAGGATTTCTATAAAAGCAACACAAAAGGGTGAGGAAGATAAATTACA